GCTCACGGCTACCTTTGTATACATTTTCATTCCTAGGTAAGTTTATGTCATTGTCCCGATCTCGGGTTTGCAACCGTGTGCAGGTATGCAATTCGTCCATATTATTATGACATCAGACTGATTGAGGCAATGTCACACCAGGCGCTGTGCAGTACTACAAAAACCTGGCTGAATTTCTCTTTCCTTGTTCTTGGACTTTTCTGGCATCAAATGTGGCAAGGAATAATTGCAGTTTGCACGGGTCACACAATGCAGGATGTACTGTTGTGTTCATGATATCTACAACTATAATAAGCGGGAGACACGAAAAGGTAATATTCTTTTAGTTAGGGTGCCAGTTTTCAATGAATGGACTGTAGGATGTGAACTAGCGCAGGGCACAAACTCGATTCAACTAGATCTAATTCCATTGAGCAGCATTGCGCACTTCTTTCCAAAGGGTCTTGATCTGTCAAAGTGCTTCTCTTTCAGGTCTTGCAATAGCCACGTATCAAATCAACCACGTATCTCATCAACTGGTCTGTACCAGAAAGGAAGAAGAGAACTGGCTAGGTCATTGTTGAATGTCGTAGCGCTGCTTTTCATGCCGCGGCACATAGCAAAGCATAATAATACGGAAATCCTCAGGCAACTGATACATCTGTACATCATCTGGCTACAAACTTATCCAGGCAACGGCTTGAAAGGGTATTGTAGAACTATTTAGTACAGTATTACAACCGCCGGCATAACGAAAAGGTATCCAACTGCACAATGACAACGTAAGTAACTAGTTACTTAGGGGTCGTCCACAATTATCGAACTTTTTCACGAAACGAAATAATTTCGTTATGGGGTGGGAGGGGGTTGACCAATTTCGTTTCAGAAAACTTCGATACATGTACATGGCCGTAGGAGCAGTGACACACTTGCGACTTTTGTTGTATACACATGTATATCTCAACATTTTTTTACGTTCTGAGGGGGAGGGAGGGAGGGGTTGGGTCTAAACTAAAATAATTCGTTTGGTGAAAAAAGTTCGATATTTACGGACGGCCCCTTACTAGTCTTGTACTTGTGGAGACTCAGGTCAGTCAGGACTGTACTCCACTCTCCAGTCCAGTGTCACACACTCCTAACTACTCACAAGTCTACCACGCTTCTTTTTGACAGTCAGGAAGTGACAGCTTACATCGCTCAGTTCAGCTGAAGTCAGCCGGTTCTGTAGTTTTACCAAACTATTTTTTTGGCATGCTACAAGAGCAGCAGCTGCTACTACCGTAGTAGCTCTTCACCGAAGCCTGCGAAGGAGGTGCTAGGCCGCATATTCTCACTGACAGCGGCGTTGACATGTTACTCGTCCACAGCTAGCCCTACAATATGGCTACATTCACTACAAGCCTTCAGGTGCATTTGCATATAAACGAGACGAAAAATGCACCTAAATAGTCTCGAAGTTTGTTTGTTGTGTCGGCAGTCGCTTGTGGTGAGAATAGTTAGTTCAAGTGGAGTAAGGCGACGGGTTGGTGCATCCACCTTCCCCATATGGGAAGACGCTCTTGTCGAGGGCACTTCGTTTACAGTTTGTTAGCGCCCACTCTACCAACGATCCCAGAGACAGGGCGTGTGTACAACGACCTACTGGAGCAAAGACAGTGCTGGACTTTGCTGGACTTCGCTCGGCACAGTTTGCGGTGATTCGGAGTGGCGCAAGGAGAACACCCTTGCGGAGTCACCGAACAGGGTGTTTGAGGGATTTGCCATACATTACCGGTATCACTTTTGCTTGCATCGTCGGTCTGTGTGGTTCGACAGCGTTGAACGCCTTCGTGTGGTGATAGGCGGCTGGCGAGAAAGGGCCCGTTCTGCGCAACCATTGCCGTTGGCCGACTAGTTACGGATCGATAAAGTCCGGTCGGGAGCACTAAACTCTAGCTTTGGCGTCCCGCTCAGCATCGAATCTCATTCCGACACTACGTGGACTACGGCATGGTGAAGACAGTCATGTATGTGATCGGTTGATCATCTGCTGTCTCTGTCTGTACTGAATCCTGCGTTCAGTCACGGCCAGAATCTAGCCAAGTAGTCGCGAGCCGACTACGTGCCGTCACGCTGGTTCTACTCCGCAGTCCAAAGGTCCAAAAGACACTGTCTTGTAAACTCTAGCAATACAGCAAACTCCCTGGAAACTCCAGCAATCCAGTAAACTCCCTTCGTAACTCCAGTAAACTCCAGGAGTAATTCCAACAAACTCCCTGAGTAACAGTCCACCAAACTGCCCTTTGTAGTTCCATCTATCCAGCAAACTCCCGCAGTAACACCTGCAAACTAACCAAATTCCTGCTGCTTGTCAACGGCAGAGCTAGTAAGCGGCCTTAGCGAGCATCGCGATGGGCCTGACCGAAGAGGAGCGGTCGGAGATCGTCGCGGCAATATCGCGCGGCGACGTCACGGCTCTGAGCTCGCTGGACGTTGGCGAGTTTCGGGACGAGCACGGCGCGAGCGCGGCGCACTACGCGGCACGCTACGGGCAGCAGGCGGTGCTCCGGCACCTGCACGAGACGTCTCGCTTCACCGCCGTCATGACGACGACAGACGGGCACACTCCGCTGCACGACGCGGCAGCCATGGGACATCGCGACGTCGTCAAGTGGCTGCACGAGGAGCGCCTGTGCTCGGCGAGCAACGACGCCGACGCAGACGGCTGCACGGCGCTGCACTTCGCCGCGCGCTTCGGCCGCCTCGGCGTGCTCCAGTACCTGGTGACGCAGTGCGGCTGCGATGCCATGGCAACCACGAAGAGCGGGATGACACCACTGCACTGGGCGGCGGCCAAGGGGCGCATCGCCATCGTCAAGTGGATCGTCGGTACGCACCAGAGGTAAGATGTGCTGCGGCTCTTTCCACCTTGCCTTACACTGGGTGTGCTTGATTACCGCCATGACTCCATTCACATGAATCGATTCACGAATGAAATCTCGTCGTTCGACTTCATGTCATGAGCGGTGGAATCTTTTCGTAATCGATTCATCCTATTCACATGGGATGATGCGAGTAGCCAGGAGTAATCCATGAATGGATTAAAGATCGATTTATGGGCAAAATCAAAACGCACGCAGTGGGTGGTCTGCTGGTTGTGCTGGACAAGAAATGAGCGACCAGCGGAATTCTTTTTCAGCCTCTGCCTCAACGCCACAGGGAACAAATACTGTCGAATAGGGACAAGATTTAAACAAATGAAAAGAATCCGGTCTTCGGTTCAGACCTACACTGCTGTCGGGCGCCGAAGACCTGTCAGCCTAGAATTTCACCCAGCACAGCACACCAATGCAGACACGGCGACTCAACTGTGCAGCGACTGTAATACAATGATGAAAACAAGAACGGCCTAGGCTAGGAGGCTGACCCCCCCCCCCCCCCCCCCGTTTCTTCTTCAACGACCGGCAGTACTATACCCTATGAGGCCGGTACAAACTGTTTGATGGGAGCTTTGTCTCCCGGGGCTTGTTTAGGATACTTGTTCCATCAGCACTCACTTTCCCCTGATTTGGTCCAGTTGAAGATGATGGTACTGCCATCAGACCATTCTATACTAATATTGACAGTCCTCCCGATAGTTTTTCGACCATTGCAGATCTTGCCGGGGAGACTAGAAACTGAAAACAGTGAACAGATCTTCTTCTTTTATTAAATCAGTGTTCACGCTGGTGTTCGATAGCACAGGAAACCCGGTGTAAGCGACCTCTGTGTTTAGCGACCACCTGCTGTTAACGACCGGTTTTCCATGCACCAACAGTTGTTGTTGTTTTTTATTTGAATTCGCAATACCAAACGGGCAATAAGCCCAATTACATGGAAGCGAATAAAAGAATGCTAAGAATGAGGCATTGGGGTGGATGTTATTTCAAGTGGAAAATACTGATCCCGGGAGGTACTACAAATAGGTACAACACAGACACTGTGGGACCTGGTTCTAAAGACCACCTGGCTTTGAGTCCCCAGGACACTACAATGTAAGGTGCTTGGTGCTCCATTCTATCTACACAAAGCGTGTTCTCTTGTTGTGTAAGGGACGTGTTCTCTTGTTGTGTAAGGGACGTGTTCTCTTGTTGTGTCAGGGACGTGTTCTCTTGTTGTGTAAGGGACGTGTTCTCTTGTTGTGTAAGGGACGTGTTCTCTTGTTGTGTAAGGGACGTGTTCTCTTGTTGTGTAAGGGACGTGTTCTCTTGTTGTGTAAGGGACGTGTTCTCTTGTTGTGTAAGGGACGTGTTCTCTTGTTGTGTAAGGGACGTGTTCTCTTGTTGTGTAAGGGACGTGTTCTCTTGTTGTGTAAGGGACGTGTTCTCTTGTTGTGTAAGGGACGTGTTCTCTTGTTGTGTAAGGGACGTGTTCTCTTGTTGTGTAAGGGACGTGTTCTCTTGTTGTGTAAGGGACGTGTTCTCTTGTTGTGTAAGGGACGTGTTCTCTTGTTGTGTAAGGGACGTGTTCTCTTGTTGTGTAAGGGACGTGTTCTCTTGTTGTGTAAGGGACGTGTTCTCTTGTTGTGTAAGGGACGTGTTCTCTTGTTGTGTAAGGGACGTGTTCTCTTGTTGTGTAAGGGACGTGTTCTCTTGTTGTGTAAGGGACGTGTTCTCTTGTTGTGTAAGGGACGTGTTCTCTTGTTGTGTAAGGGACGTGTTCTCTTGTTGTGTAAGGGACGTGTTCTCTTGTTGTGTAAGGGACGTGTTCTCTTGTTGTGTAAGGGACGTGTTCTCTTGTTGTGTAAGGGACGTGTTCTCTTGTTGTGTAAGGGACGTGTTCTCTTGTTGTGTAAGGGACGTGTTCTCTTGTTGTGTAAGGGACGTGTTCTCTTGTTGTGTAAGGGACGTGTTCTCTTGTTGTGTAAGGGACGTGTTCTCTTGTTGTGTAAGGGACGTGTTCTCTTGTTGTGTAAGGGACGTGTTCTCTTGTTGTGTAAGGGACGTGTTCTCTTGTTGTGTAAGGGACGTGTTCTCTTGTTGTGTAAGGGACGTGTTCTCTTGTTGTGTAAGGGACGTGTTCTCTTGTTGTGTAAGGGACGTGTTCTCTTGTTGTGTAAGGGACGTGTTCTCTTGTTGTGTAAGGGACGTGTTCTCTTGTTGTGTAAGGGACGTGTTCTCTTGTTGTGTAAGGGACGTGTTCTCTTGTTGTGTAAGGGACGTGTTCTCTTGTTGTGTAAGGGACGTGTTCTCTTGTTGTGTAAGGGACGTGTTCTCTTGTTGTGTAAGGGACGTGTTCTCTTGTTGTGTCAGGGACGTGTTCTCTTGTTGTGTAAGGGACGTGTTCTCTTGTTGTGTAAGGGACGTGTTCTCTTGTTGTGTAAGGGACGTGTTCTCTTGTTGTGTAAGGGACGTGTTCTCTTGTTGTGTAAGGGACGTGTTCTCTTGTTGTGTAAGGGACGTGTTCTCTTGTTGTGTAAGGGACGTGTTCTCTTGTTGTGTAAGGGACGTGTTCTCTTGTTGTGTAAGGGACGTGTTCTCTTGTTGTGTAAGGGACGTGTTCTCTTGTTGTGTAAGGGACGTGTTCTCTTGTTGTGTAAGGGACGTGTTCTCTTGTTGTGTAAGGGACGTGTTCTCTTGTTGTGTAAGGGACGTGTTCTCTTGTTGTGTAAGGGACGTGTTCTCTTGTTGTGTAAGGGACGTGTTCTCTTGTTGTGTAAGGGACGTGTTCTCTTGTTGTGTAAGGGACGTGTTCTCTTGTTGTGTAAGGGACGTGTTCTCTTGTTGTGTAAGGGACGTGTTCTCTTGTTGTGTAAGGGACGTGTTCTCTTGTTGTGTAAGGGACGTGTTCTCTTGTTGTGTAAGGGACGTGTTCTCTTGTTGTGTAAGGGACGTGTTCTCTTGTTGTGTAAGGGACGTGTTCTCTTGTTGTGTAAGGGACGTGTTCTCTTGTTGTGTAAGGGACGTGTTCTCTTGTTGTGTAAGGGACGTGTTCTCTTGTTGTGTAAGGGACGTGTTCTCTTGTTGTGTAAGGGACGTGTTCTCTTGTTGTGTAAGGGACGTGTTCTCTTGTTGTGTAAGGGACGTGTTCTCTTGTTGTGTAAGGGACGTGTTCTCTTGTTGTGTAAGGGACGTGTTCTCTTGTTGTGTAAGGGACGTGTTCTCTTGTTGTGTAAGGGACGTGTTCTCTTGTTGTGTAAGGGACGTGTTCTCTTGTTGTGTAAGGGACGTGTTCTCTTGTTGTGTAAGGGACGTGTTCTCTTGTTGTGTAAGGGACGTGTTCTCTTGTTGTGTAAGGGACGTGTTCTCTTGTTGTGTAAGGGACGTGTTCTCTTGTTGTGTAAGGGACGTGTTCTCTTGTTGTGTAAGGGACGTGTTCTCTTGTTGTGTAAGGGACGTGTTCTCTTGTTGTGTAAGGGACGTGTTCTCTTGTTGTGTAAGGGACGTGTTCTCTTGTTGTGTAAGGGGCGTAGGAAGATATTTTTGGGTGGTACGGTCAGCCATCTGAAGTACAAGTTACTCGCGCTTCCAAAAGTAGCTCCGCTGAAGCCTCTTTTGAAATCTGAGCCCGAATCAGTGTGTTTGATTGCCCCACGGGATGGATCCGTGATGCAAGTAGTGATAATGTTACAATCCATACCATACAGCACTGTCAGGTGCCGAGGAGCGTAATGCCGACGGAGACACGGGCTAGAATTTCGCCAAGCATGGCATAGCGATATGTGCCAGGTCACTGACTCCACTGCGCATAAACAGCTACACATGAAACAAAGACAGTCCAGCCTACGGGTCTGACCTCCCTCCAGTTCTTCAGCACCCGACAACACCGCAATGATCGCAGCGTGTCCGACGCCTCTGTACTGTAATCCCAACCTTAGCAATCCTGAAACAATTACGGTTTTCGCGACAGGTGTGAAATCGCGAAAGTACGTGGGCATGAAACAGGAAACTGTAAGACTCGAATCAAGCGCTGAAACAGTTGCACCTTACACATGGTACATGTCTGATGCAGTCGGGACTCTATGGCACTGTTCTGTAGTGATGCAGACACAGTCTGTGATCTCTTGCATACTACAGTGCTGGCCAAAGAAATCCAACCTCATGAATAAACTAGTGCTGGGCACTACACAGCCCTGGCACTACACAGCCCAGGCACTACACAGCCCCGGCACTACACAGCCCCGGCACTACACAGCCCTGACACTACACAGCCCTGGCACTACACAGCCCTGGCACTACACAGCCCTGGCACTACACAGCCCTGGCACTACACAGCCCTGGCACTACACAGCCCTGGCACTACACAGCCCTGGCACTACGCAGCCCTGGCACTACACATACTGGTCTGTGCACTACACATACTGGTTCTTTGCACTACACAGCCCTGGCACTACACAGCCCTGGCACTACACAGCCCTGGCACTACACAGCCCTAGCACTACACAGCCCTGGCACTACACAGCCCTGGCACTACACAGCCCTGGCACTACACAGCCCTGGCACTACACAGCCCTGGCACTACAAAGCCCTGGCACTACGCAGCCCTGGCACTACACATACTGGTCTGTGCACTACACATACTGGTTCTTTGCACTACACAGCCCTGGCACTACACAGCCCTGGCACTACACAGCCCTGGCACTACACAGCCCTGGCACTGCACAGCCCTGGCACTACACAGCCCTGGCACTACACAGCCCTGGCACTACACAGCCCTAGCACTACACAGCCCTGACACTACACAGCCCTGGCACTACACAGCCCTAGCACTACACAGCCCTGACACTACACAGCCCTGGCACTACACAGCCCTGGCACTACACAGCCCTGGCACTACACAGCCCTGGCACTACACAGCCCTGGCACTACACAGCCCTGGCACTACACAGCCCTGGCACTACACAGCCCTGGCACTACACAGCCCTGGCACTACACAGCCCTAGCACTACACAGCCCTGACACTACACAGCCCTGGCACTACACAGCCCTGGCACTACCCAGCCCTGGCACTACACAGCCCTGGCACTACACAGCCCTGGCACTACACAGCCCTGGCACTACACAGCCCTGGCACTACACAGCCCTGGCACTACACAGCCCTGGCACTACACAGCCCTGGCACTACACAGCCCTGGCACTACACAGCCCTAGCACTACACAGCCCTGGCACTACACAGCCCTGGCACTACACAGCCCTGGCACTACACAGCCCTGGCACTACACAGCCCTAGCACTACACAGCCCTGGCACTACACAGCCCTGGCACTACACAGCCCTGGCACTACACAGCCCTGGCACTACACAGCCCTGGCACTACACAGCCCTGGGCCCTGGCACTACACAGCCCTAGCACTACACAGCCCTGGCACTACACATACTGGTCTGTGCACTACACATACTGGTCTGTGCACTACACAGCCCTGGCACTACACAGCCCTGGCACTACACAGCCCTGGCACTCCACAGCCCTGGCACTACACAGCCCTAGCACTACACAGCCCTGGCACTACACAGCCCTGGCACTACACAGCCCTGGCACTACACAGCCCTGGCACTACACAGCCCTGGCACTACACAGCCCTGGCACTACACAGCCCTGGCACTACACAGCCCTGGCACTACGCAGCCCTGGCACTACACATACTGGTCTGTGCACTACACATACTGGTTCTTTGCACTACACAGCCCTGGCACTACACAGCCCTGGCACTACACAGCCCTGGCACTACACAGCCCTAGCACTACACAGCCCTGGCACTACACAGCCCTGGCACTACACAGCCCTGGCACTACACAGCCCTGGCACTACACAGCCCTGGCACTACACAGCCCTGGCACTACGCAGCCCTGGCACTACACATACTGGTCTGTGCACTACACATACTGGTTCTTTGCACTACACAGCCCTGGCACTACACAGCCCTGGCACTACACAGCCCTGGCACTACACAGCCCTGGCACTACACAGCCCTGGCACTACACAGCCCTGGCACTACACATCCCCGGCACTACACATACTGGTCTGTGCACTACACATCCCTGGCACTACACAGCCCTGGCACTACACAGCCCTGGCACTACACAGCCCTGGCACCACACAGCCCTGGCACTACACAGCCCTGGCACTACACAGCCCTGGCACTACACAGCCCTGGCACTACACAGCCCTGGCACTACACATACTGTTTTTTTGCACTCAAACGCAGCGCTACTTTATTCCTGAGGTTGGATTTCACTAGCCAGAACTGTAGTATTTTTTTCGTTGTGCACGTTGTCACACAGGTCCGGGTATGAGCGTGCCGAGGATGGCACCACACCTGTGTATATGGCCGCGCAGGAGGGCAGGCCGGCGTGTGTGGAGTACATTGCCATGCACTGCAGCGGCAGTGCACGCGTGAGAGCCGTGGACGGAACGCTGCCAATCCACGCTGCTGCAGCCGCTGGCCACTACCCGGTGGTCAAGTTCCTGGTGAGCAGCAGGGTGTGTGGGTGTGTGTGTATGTGTGTGTGTAGTGTTTGTGTGTGTTTGTGTGTCTGTTGTGGTCTATGTGGTTAAGTTCTTGGTGAGCAGTGTGTTTATCTGTGTTAGACTTCTCTCCCTCTATCTACCCGGTGATCAAGTTATTGGTCAGCACCTGTGTGTTGCTCTGCGAGACACTTCTCACCGTCTATCCGTTGGGTCGGTGCTCCGAGTCAGCGCCTCGGTCTTATAAGACAGTTTGTCTTTTTTACACAGGTTCCAATTGATGGGCTAAATCTTAGACAACCTAGAGTTTTCAGTACACGAAGAAGACCTTGCCCCACAAGCTGGCAATGGCATATAACTTGAAATTTGAATAAACCACCTGTATGCAAGACCCTGTATAAACCACTTGTATACAAAGAAGTCCTGTGCAGATGAACCTGTATTCCGTGTAGCAGATTTGATATAAACGCAAGTGCTGCTGCTGCTGTCCTCCTTTGCTGTGCAGATCCAGAATGAAATGGCATCATCCGTGGATCTGGACGGGAGTAACGCTACACCTGTACACTACGCGGCTGCTAACGGTAAGACCAAGGATGTCACACACGGTACGACCATAATCGTATCACTTTTCGTCCAGGATGGTCTGCCCAATTCATCCAAGAAAAACACACACAGTTAAAGAGCTAATATGTGCCCTATTGGCCGAAAAATCCGATTTTATTTCCGGGGGTCCGGGTTGCATCATCATAATGATGTCAACTTGAAATTCTGTCGGAACACCACCCATCGTCGAGTTGCACACTCTTGGGCGATTATGTACTCTTGCCACCACTAATGAGTGAAATGGAACCGTGCATTTAATAGCAGAATGGCTGACTTTTGATAGCTGTCCCTGCATGTATTTAGTGCAGTTGGTTTGACTACAGGCCACAATACCAGTGAGCACCACTGTGAGTGAAAGGGAACCGGGCATGTAAGAACTACAGATATTATGTTCTTTATCTGAACAACTGTCTGTTCTTTGCCCGTGTGCAATGCAGGCCATGTTGAGCTGCTGTGGTGGCTGGTAAATAACCACAAGCTCATTCCGGATCCTGACCGACTAGGGAACACACCGCTACATGACGCTGCCCAGCATGGTCACTCGGAGGTGAGTCTTGTGCACATTGGCCGGTGAGGGGGGGGGGGGCAAATGGGGGTGGGGTGTTTGCCCTGTACACGAGGATCTTGACGAGGGGAGGGGGAGGGTGTGGTTGTTCTGTTAACAGAAGTGATGATGAGGGGAGAGGGAGGGGATGGCTGTTCTGTTTTGTTCAGGGGTGATGGTGAGGTGGATAGGGCAATTGGTGTAAGTTGTGTGTTGTGCTCAGAGAGGGCAAATTCCTGCTGCATCCATGCTGAGGAAAACTCGTTTGACTAATACAATTAATGTTGCAAGTGCGCATAGCAGCACAGTACAGTGCAAGATAAATCTACTGTTGTGGACATGGAAATCCAGTCGCACGTCTAGCGGCCCCAGGCCAGGGTACTGGCCATGCAGCCGTGGATAAGCACACATGCAGCCTGCAGTGCGCTGGTCACATCGAAACAACATGACGGTGTACTGCATGCAACGACTACGTTCTGTACGTTGAGGGCGCCGGCCTTCGTCAATCGACTGGATTTCCATGTCCACGACAGTAGCATGGAGAATGCTGGAGGGAAGTCTCTAAATAGAATATATCCTCAATTTCTACTCTGGTGCGAAATGAACGATGTGCTCTTTCGCAGACGAAAAACCCTCTGCTGCGACACCTAAGTCACACATTCGACGCTTGAGGAGAAGGAAAATTGTGACTTACTCAGTCTCACTGGAGGTGTACCACATGCGTGCATGTTGTCATGGTTACAAAAAGAATACGCGTCTTGATAATGGCGAGTGTGTGACGTAAAACCGCGTGTGTGTGGGTGTGGGGTGAGGGTGTTTACTGTTAGGCGCTACATCTGCCGCTGGGATATTCCGGGTGATAGCGTCCGTCGGGATTTCCCCTGGAAAATTGGAGACGAAAATGTCCCTTCTTCTTCTTACTGCGAGTAGACTATACTGGCGAGCCATACCGTCGTTTAACCGACCAATTTCTCTCGGCGTTGATGTACTAGCAGGAGTACATCAGCTCCCTAGAGTGTGAAGCTCTGGATATCCTGGTGACGAACGCTCACACTCATACTCACACCGTCTGGTGTAGTCGGTTCCAGTTGTAAGTTTCCAGCCCCTTTTGTAGCGAGAGTTGGAAACTAGCACTTCTGACGGAAAGCCACTCAACTTGCTTGTGATAAGTAAATTGGAGCCCTAGTAAAATACCGCAAAAGTCAATGAAGCGAACACTGTCACAGAATACCATACATTCTCAATAGTATGACAGAAATGAAACACGCTATGAAAAATGACATAGTGTACCTAACAATATCAACTTGCTGGTGTCATTATTATTAAACTCAATCTCGTAGCATGTGCACGCATTGCTAATGTGGGGAGCAACCCCAGAGATGAGGGCGATAACCAGCCACGGTAAAAGTACAAAAGAAAACAAGAAAACAGAGGAAAGAAAGGAACAGGGAGGAAAACAAAGATCAGCCAATTAAGTGAGATAGTCGGGCATGCAAGCCATCAGCATGATCGTGGCACATATTCGGTATGAGGGTGCGCTAGCCTCCACTGTACATAGTACAAATCGTGCTAGGAACAAGTTATGGGAGTCTCTCCGTCGGAGACCCTGTATCCAGAGTTTCACACTCTTGAAAACCTAATTACTCTCACTACTTGTAGAATTTGTTTCGATGGATTGCGTGCCTTTTCAATAGACATCGACAATACTTTGGGAACTGCAGAAACCCTCTGTGAGAGGAATGGCAAAACAGAATGCATTCTTTCTCCAGCATTTTATCGTATGTTGGGGGTTTAGCTCAGTGGTAGAGCGCTCGCTTCGCATGTGAGAGGCCGCGGGTTCAAATCCCGCAACCTCCAGACTTTTTTTGCTAATTTTTGTTCGATAAAAAGAACGCAAAGAAAAAAATGTGGAGGTTGCGGGATTTGAACCCGCGGCCTCTCACATGCGAAGCGAGCGCTCTACCACTGAGCTAAACCCCCAAAACACACTTCCTATCATGCACAAACTTACCCTAAGGTTACCAAGTAACTAGTTTGTCACCTTTCTATGTTTGTACTTGGAAGTATGGAAAATCATCAGTAGCAGGCAGGATGTTGATGTCTGCTCGTAGTATTGAAAGACTAGCAGCATTGCACAGGCCTCAACTGCTTCGTGTGCTATTTAGATTGGATATTCCGATGATTTGTATGCACAGGCATCCGTGCGTGTGTGTGTGTTCTATATACACGTGTGTGTGCATAAAACGCATCTACAAGCATGCAGAGGCATGCAGAGGCATGTAGAGGCATGGTGAAAGAAATCTGACCCAAAGGTCTACAGTAGCGCCAGGTTTCCATTTTAATTACATCATGCATCGTCGAAAACTCATCCAAGGGCTCCATCGGCCACATGAGCTTCGGTACTGCTTTCGGTTCACGGGTCGATTCTCGTTGGCTACAACTGTGTGTGTGTGTGTGTGTGTGTAAATTCCACCATCAATGCATCCGGACTGTCCTCAGCATCACCAAGCCTCGTCAGTGGTCCGAGCGGCTGTCATCCACAGACCTGCGGAACCGTTGGGGAGACCCAGTACTGATGTCTACACGCCTCCGCAATCGGCGTCTGGAATGGACTGGGCACGTTGCGCGTATGGATGAGGATCGCACCCCCCTCCAACTCCTCTTTGGGTGGCTGCCTGTGCCTCGGCCGTTTTGTGGTCCCCGGCGACGGTGGAAAGACACGGTGATGACCGACCTCAAGGTTGCACTGCAACAGCCATCTCAGTGGTTCATCCTTGCTCAGGACCGCCAAGAGTGGAGGGAAGTACGGGTTGCCCCTCAGTCGAGCTCCACCATGCCCAAGTCTGTGCATTGCGCAGTGTGTGACCGGAACTTCTCACGGGTCTCAGATAGGACGCGGCACAAGTGCACCACTCAGAGACGGCTTCCCATCCAGCTCCAGCGTGGATCAGTGCAATGCCAGAACTGCCAGAGGTGGTTCCGCAGCAAGGGTGGCTACTCTGTTCATCGATGCCAGCCTGTCACGAGTTCTCCTACACCAACAGTCAGTCTGTCTGTGCCACTTTCAGCTTGTTGCCAGCAGCACTGCCCAACATGTCAGCGATGCTTCCGTTCTGCGGCCGGGTTCAAGCGTCACAACTGCAATCGTGGTGCGAGACCATCTGCTGCTGAGAGAGCAGGTCTGCCCCTCAGCTGCCCACGTTGTAAACGCAATTTCCGCCGGCAGCAGGACCTAGCCAGACATTCGCGGTCCTGCTTGTGATCCGTGTCCCGTTTTCTGGTCCCCTTTCCATAGGGGTGACACTTGCCCCTCTGGGCAGTCATGCTGCTAGTAGTAGTAGTAGTAGTGTGTGTGTGTGTGTGTGTGTGTGTGTGTGTGTGTGTGTGTGTGTGTGTGTGTGTGTGTGTGTGTGTGAGTGTGCGTGTGCGTGTGGGGGGGGGGGGGACGTGCGTGTGTGCATGTGCTTGTGGGCTTGTGTGTGTGCCTGCATGTATACCTATAATTATTTGCTGACTTTGCCAGTGTCTGGGCGTGCTGGCCAACGCTGCGCGTCTCATGCCCAACGAGATGTCACAGCTGAACGCTGAGGATGCCAGCGGGCAGACACCATTGGACATCGCAGACCAGGAGGACCACTCCGCGTGCTGTGAGCTACTTGCCATGCGCGGTGTGCAGCGGAGGAAGAAGGTAGGTGTTACCGTACTTTCCGGAGTATGCATGTAAGCGGCCCAGGGATGAATTTATCCTGTATCACAAACTGATGCTCAAAAGTCATTGTGACTCGCGGAAAACTGCTATGCATACAGAATATCCATGCTTAGCCTGCGCTATGAAGTAATATCAAGAAGTATTTTTTCTAGACCAAAGAGTGGTATATTTGATAAATAAATATAGAAATATTTATGATACTTCTCCAAACATGAAGTTGGTTGCTCCAACGAGGAGCACACGCTTCTTGCCAAACTTGACACTTGACTGACTCACGACTGCCATCCGGAGCACACAAGGAGCACTTCGCACCTTCCTCTCGGCAAACCTGCAAGAAAGCACCACTCCCTGTTCAATACACAGTGTTGCGGGGAATTCACCCCTCATCAGTTGAGCTTGAGTACGCTGAGGAAGAGCAACCAACTTCATGACTATTACCGTTGAAGTCGCAACTTCTAACTTCTCCAGACGTTTTGTAAATATACCACTCTTTGGTCTAGAAAGAATACTTTTTGATATTACAATGAGAGTGGATAGTCAACGGCTTGTCCACCAACTCTTTGGCTATGAAGTAACCTGAATACCGTACAGTGCAGTGTATGTGGTGCAGGCAATCTCAATCTGCGTGCACATGTATGCATGCATCATTGTTTTTTTTGCAAATGGGCTTTCAGGCAACACTCTCAAGAAGGAAAATCCGGTAAACACACAACCTTCAAAGAAAAAACGCTAATCAAAATCAAAGACTGCCACACAATTGTGATTTTGTATAGCTGAAACTGCTATACAAAATCAGGACAGTAAATTCATCCCTGAAGCCACACCAAATTTGTCTGTCACAAAATGCAGACTAATACCATATTTAGCATGGTTAATTTGACCATCGTAGTAAAAGTCGCAGCGACCTTTTTTACGATGAATCGCTGGTGTTTAAATACTGAAATACTGGTGTTTAAATACTGAAATACTGGTGTTTAAATACTGAAATACTGGTGTTTAAATTGTGAAATACTGGTGTTTAAATTGTGAAATACTGGTGTTTAAATTGTGGCTTATACTCCGGATAATAATTGTAGTTGGTTTCCAGCACCCAATCTAAGCACAGTGTTGCTTATTACCATCACATCTCATGAAGCAGGCAACCGCAGTTGGTTGGTCTAGAGACCACGGTTGAGAGACGAGAGGTACCGGGTTCAAGTACCGCCTGGAAGCGGGCGGATAGTCCAACTGTGCTGCGATCCACAGTGAATTGGGGTCTTGTGGCCTGGCACAAGGGTAGCATGGGTGTCGCAAATGGGTATTTTATGTTTGTGTATTTCGCCTTCAGCATAGATACAGGCACTGTTGCCTTCTTGCTGTGGATCTTGAATGATACCACAGCTACTAAGCTATCCTATTGGATGAAAACTTTGTGAAAGTTGTCCTATCGGAAATTCATTCGCCCTTACTTTCACGATGCTATGGAAAGGCCAGGTCCGTCCCTTACAAGTCGTTTTTTTTGTTTTTGTATTTACATCATCATCTCATGGCACATCATGATGACGGCCAGTAAAACTGATTCTTCGAACGATAGGCGACTGGTCTGAAAGCGTCATAATCGTAAATCAAGAAGACTGATTTGGCGAGTAACTTGGCGTATTTAGTGAATGCCAACTGAATAGACTGCGGCGGTTGTCAATTGATGAGCCCCCCCCCACCATTTCCTTTAATTTTAACGTGATCAAATTATCATGTTGGCCTATGATCAGAATATTTACGGTAAAGGATATGATAGGATGTCAAAAATGATAATTGAAAGCAGTCTTTTGTTTTGCTGTAATAAACAGCCTATTTTACGTGCAAAAGAAACACAATTATGACGATAAACTAGGGTATGAAAGGAAGAAAATAGCAAACAGCGGTGACAAAATTTGTAATTGAAATCAATTGTTTGTATTCTGTACCACTGTGTCTCATGTTCTTTTCGTTTTCAGAAAGCCCCGGTCCAGCGACGCAAGGATAAAGCCCATCGGCAGAACCCCGAGCAGGGCGGTGGCAACAAGTCGCCGAGGCTTCGCAAGCGCAAGGAGCCGGGCCCGTCTGGTGGTGGAGCGCCGGCACCCCCTCCACCGCCTCCCGACTCTTTCCTGGCCGGCGTGCAGTTGAAGAAGCGCGACGTGACGTCGTCCCTGAGCTCGGCGACCACCACGGACGGCGAGACCAGTCTTCTGTTGTCGAAGGTGAAGCTACGGAAAGTGTCCGAAGCTCAGATCTCCCAGGATCGCTCCCCACAACAAGGTGAGTATTAGCAATGCGCCATTTTAGTTCAAGTATTGTTCATCTTCTGCGCCATTTGATCTGAACAGTCTAAAACAGAGGTACTATCATTGCGATCAGATGTGTGTCTTTCTGTCTTTCTATCTTTCTATCTAACTGTCTATCTGTCTGTCAGTCCGTCTGTCTGTCTGTTTGTCTGTCTGTCTGTCTGTCTGTCTGTCTGTCTGTCTGTCTGTCTGTCTGTCTGCCTGTCTGTCTGTCTGTCTGTCTGTCTGTCTGTCTGTCTATCTATCTGTCTATCTGCCTTCCTGTTTGTCAGTCCATCTGTCTGTCTGTTTGCTTGTCTGTCTGTCTGTCTGTCTGTCTGTCTGTCTGTCTGTCTGTCTGTTTGTCTGTTTGTCAGCCTGTGTGTCTCGCACTACCAACCATAGCTAGCCTAACAACACAGCAGGAGGAAGACTTGATACTGACGAATGTTAACATTTCGACCATAATGGTCTCTGTGCCTGTCTGTCTTTCTGTGGTCTGTCTGTCTAACATTATCTGTTTGTCTTGTGCCAGTCTATCTGTCTGTCTCTCTGGCTGCCATGGGGTTGAGTAAGTGTGTCCTCCGTAGTTACCAATAGCGTAAAGTATCGCGAGAACACCCCATCAACGCGTTCTTTCGTGAACGTCCTGGGGAGGTGGCGGCCTGTCAGTAGGCCATACGACACGTTTCTTCTGCACACATTGCATGTTGTGCAGTCAATCCGTACTCAGTTTACCTTGGAGCTCCACGGAAGAACATGCTTAAGCGTGACCTTAGTACACTAAGGTTCTCACATCGTACAAACTTGATTGCCCTTTGCCATACTATTTTCCTTTCCAAATCCGTAAAATCAAGGTGGGGCGCTCTCGCTGTACTTTACCGTAGTAGAGTAGTAGTAGTAGATTTTATTATTTTACTAGGGGAGTCCCAACAGGCGTTGCCTTTTTACTGGGAACCCTAGGTGAATTTTTACCATGTTTACATACAGAGTAAGAGACGGGGCCTGACGGCAGTCAGTGGGAAGAGCATTCCATCTGTCTGCCGCCAGGAAAGAAATAGAACGCATGCCATATTGCGTAGAAACAGGCGGAAGAACTAATGCGCGCTGTGCCTGGCCGCGCGTGCGAGCCTGGTGTCCAGGCACAGCAGCCCTAAGCTGGAACAAGGATTGGAGAAGGGGACTAGCAAGATGTGGGGTCAAGCAGCGGTACACGAAAACATACCGTAACACCCTCATCTCACTCTCAGCAGAAAAAAAGTTTTACACACGCAAAGAAATCAAAACGAAAATAATGAAATAGTGTGGGAGCAAACCCATTCCAAAAAAATCAAAGGTCGATATAAAAATTTGCCCGTAATTTGGTGTAAAAGAGGTCACCTATGTATATGTTATCGCATGGTTGCAAGGGCCTTATGGCATATTATTGCCCCGAGAGGTTAGCCCGAGGGCCGTAGGCCCGAGGGCTAACCTCGAGGGGCAATAATATGCCATAAGGCCCGCAGCAACCATGCGATAACAAATTTATCACATGGCCCACAGAGCAGACCATTGGGCTGCTGTTGAAATTAGCCCAAATGCCAACACATTATGACCACAATGTATATTGATGTGCTATCATTATCAAAACAGGAAAAATGAAGATATTTCTCCTACGCCCTAACAAAAAGTCTGCTACAGGCCATCAGAGAGTATACAGTACTGAAAGACGGAGACAGAAAAAAGTGCCGGCACCGCATCGTCATAGCAATAGACATGGCAACGACAATAAAATACAGCAGAATCATAATTTCAGTTGAAAAATTAAGAGTGCTACCACAAAGAGTTTCTTCATGTTTACATGTGTATCAGGAAGTTGTCAAATACAGTACTGCAACAAGTGCAAGTATTTGACGACTCCCTGGTGTGTAATTCTAAGGACAATTTTTCTTCTTTTTTTCAGCACCAGATAGCTGTATTTTTCATTGCAAAACATTCCTGAATTGTTGTGTTTGTTGTTCAAGCAAAGGTGAAGGCAGAGGACAGATGAGCCTGGTAAGAGTTTTGCGTGGCACATGAAGACCACACACAGGCAGTGACTTTGCGAGGATTTGAAAACGCGCGACGCTGAGTTGAATTTGTGTTATTTCAAAATATTGTTTGTGATCACAGTACCACTTCGAGCAGAACTGAATCTTATCCACAAGCTTACCGACGGTCAGGCTGCCAACATGACTGAACAAATGATCCCTGCAAGCACCACACGGCAGACGTCCGAGGCCATGTCCATTGCCGGGATGTCCATCTCCAAAAAGAATTCCATCTTCGTCTCAATGCTACACTGCGAATCGTCGACGTCGTAGAGTCGTACAGTCTACAGAGTCGAGTCGTCGTACCGTAGTCACGCGATCACTGAAATAAACTATTTTTTTGCGGGCAAATAAACTATTTTTTTGCGGGCAATATCGCATATTATTGCCCGCGGCGCGAAAGGTGCTGATTCGCTGGAGTACGGGCAACAATCACGTGCCATGTGATAAAATAATATTAAAGATCCTCACACTACCAGCTACAGCGGGCTATACACGCTGTATTTTGATCATGTCTGGGTTGTGTGTTAGTGGGCTGTATACGATTGTTAGGTACCTCCTCCCGTACAATCTTACCTAAGCTGACCGGCCTACATGCACCCGTACTACGTCATACTCACCTTTCGTTCCGTTGGCCTGGGTAGCTACTTGCGCGCCCATGTTTGCCATAGCTACCCAGGCCCTTTATATTGCGTTGCTTCTCTCTTCAACTCGCTCTCTTCAATAAGCTCGCTCTCTTCAATAATCTCACTCTTCAATGTAGTCGATTCGTTTGTCTTGGTCTCTTGTCTCTTCGTCTATAATAAATGTCGTTCCCATCAACCTACCTGTTCCCGTTGTCAGTCGTGTTAGTGAGTAAGAAACCTCTCTTGTTCGGACCCAACATTAGAAAACTTCTCTTCTTCGGACCCAACACGATGTATTTTGATCATGTCTGGGTTGTGTGTTGTCGGTGCACTTGCAGCGCAAGACTCTGGTTTGCTGAGCGACATTCGCGGTGTGGACAAATCCGTTCTGAAGCAAACAAACCCGGCGAAGAGATTCCTGGCACCGGTACGGGCGGCCAGGCGTGCATACATGCATTCCTAGAGAACAGTATTAGCTTGGGAAGACACCCATAGCCCCCTTCCTGGCACGTATGTTGGGATTTACCTGGCATGTATGCCGACATACCAATTCAGATCAAATGAGTCCTATTGCACCAGAACCCCCCCCCCCCCACACCCACATACACCCACATACACCCACATACACGTGTACATAACAGGCAAAAAAGTCATAATTTCCTCCCCCCCCCCCCCCCCCGCCCTTCGTGGTGCCGGTGACCTCCTGGGTTTGGCATTGTCTTCCATTTCTTTTCTAGGAAACTGGTCACGTGCTTGACGACGAGGACGACGATAGCGGTGCGGAGCTAGTCGTGCCGGCAATGGACGCCGACGGCAAGCCATTGCCCGCCTGGAAGAAGAAAATCTTGGAGAAGAAGGTGGAGCAGAAAAAGCAGAAACGTGCTGTCAAGCAGCAGAAGGTCAGTCAGCGCTGCTGGGTTGGGCTAAAAATCGCCTAAAGTTCTATCTTCCGTCACACACTGTGCTTTCAGAGAGGTCCATGTCATGATGATCAAAACTGAAAGAAAAGAGAAGAAATTGTGTAACAAACTCGGTGGAGACAAAAGTTTAATAATGGCGATTAGTACTAATGACTAATGGCGACTAATGGCGATTACCGTACTTCCCCGATTATAAGTCGCACTCGGTTATAAGTCGCATCCCCATTTTCAGGTTTGAGCAATAATATTATTGTCCTGCTCTTGTAGCAGTTGAGCACTCTTACGTGGGGTAGTGCCTTTGCTGTTTGCGTTATGCAGAGCTCACTGACTTGTCAGTTTGAGCACTCTGGCAAGGTACGTTCGGGCCTGTTTGGAAATTTTTATTTCCATTGCTATCAGGTTCGGCCTCATTTCCTCTGTGCTGCGCTGACGAGTCCACAAAGGACGAAACAGTTCTGTCCGCAGATTGAGTATTATTGTTTTGATATATTCACTTCAGTAGTAAGTCATGCTGGATTGTAAGTTGTACCCCCTTTTTTACCCTGGATTTTAGTGTAAAAAGGTGCGACTTATAATCGGGGAAATATGGTAGTAAAATCAGTTGTGCTGTGATTCTAACATGCATACAAGTTCCAACAAAGTCTAATTCTAGTTAACCAGAAATATTATAGCAGAAATCTGCATGCTCCCTAAGCAAACACCTTCTACAGACGAGCACATTTTCTAGAGTAAATCCGATTTTCAACCAAATATGCAGGTAAGTGTCATGGAATGTACGGTTGAAGGCAATCTTCTGAAGTCAAGCAATGACCTGACCTAGGTCCCTTGCCGTGGATGTGCTACTGTTGGTGCTATTATGAGTTCAGATGTTGCGTGGCATCAAGAGTATATACCCTCCCCATTACCCCCCCCCCCCCTGCAGAGTGTGCAATGCTTGATTCAGCTCTGCACAGGGTCTTGGTCGAGCGTAATTATATCTTTGCGTCATAATACCGTACAGATCTGATTCCGGGCACGTCCCGGTCGCAAGCAGGACATTTCTGGGGTCCTGGCAGTTGTACCAACCCTGTACTGGAGTCTACAACCACACGAGATCAGCACACAGCATAATCCCAAGATTCACAACACCATAGCACCCGTACAGTTTGTGCATTCTAGGGCGACTTTTTTCACCAAAATACACCAGACCCGGGTTGGGGACTCTCGACTCAAAGACAAAGGTGCCCTGCCTCGCACTGGTGTGGAGCGTACCCATGGCAACAGAAGATCCGACTGCGCTCGACCGAGATCCTAGGCAGAGCTGGATCTGGCGTTGCACACACTGTTGGGGTTATGTACTCTTGATAGCATTTAGGCGTAACGTTACTTCTGTGTGTGTGTGTGTGTGTGTGTGTGTGTGTGTGTGTTCGTGTGTGTGTTTGTGTATACGCATGCAGGATACTGAAGAGAAAGAAAAGTGGGAAGGCATTCCGGCGTGGAAGCGTAAAGTCATGGAGGAGAGGGAAGCAAAGAGGTGAGTGTCCTGTGCACATGTGCATTGTCTCAAAAGATACTTTGTGTGCCGGAGCTGGCCTCGCGAGGTGGCCGTCGGCGGGGAAAGTCCCAACGAAAGGAAACCCAACAATGAGGGTGTGCCCTCATACTGAATCTAGATGTTCCCTATTTCCTTCTCCTCATTTGTCATAGCAGCATTTGTTACTGCATGGAGATCTGTTGTTCCAACGGTCCGCCGCCTCAGTGGTAGGCTGGATCGGAGAAAACGGTATTCTGCCAGCTCGGTGCAGGTGTAATTTTAATTTTTTTTTCAAATCAAGGCCTAGTGTCACGCCAGAGTACCCCTCCCCCTTCCCGGGCAAACGCACAAGGAACCTCCAGAACGTCTCTGTTACCAGGTGGTCTCCTTATCCAGGGTGATCTGACGGGAAGTGGCATCCCTTGGTCCTGGTTGCAGTGGTCTTCTGAGGCAGGTGGTCGCCCTACTAGGTTTTGCTTAGGGCTCAAACGGTCACGGTTTTATCCCTAACGGTTAACTGCTAAGCTAGCGGTCGGTTTAACGGTTATAACCTATAAGCCACTGCAATCCTGCGGACTCTTTTTTAACCGTATATTTGACTATACTCATTCAAAAAATGTTCCCTATTCAGTGCAACGCACAAATGTACAATGCTCCTGCATGCTCATTCATACATACTCTCACACCAAGAGACCAGATATGACCGAGTTGACAGCCCAGAAATTGCGTACGCGTGCGACAGCCTGCGAAAGTGCACACTTTGCAACGACCTGATACTTGAAAAATTCACTGAAAGGTTACTGCGTAACCGTTATCTTTATAGGTTAACCGTTAATTCTTCGTAACCGGTCTGTGACCGGTTAATCGGACTAACCGTTTGAGCCCTAGTTTTGCTGTAAACGATGTGTGTGTGTGCACGCACGCGCGCGCGTGTGTGTGTGCTCGCACGTGTGTGTGTGTGTGTGTTCGCGCGCACATGTGTGTGTGTACGTGTGGTGGCGGCATGTTTTGTTTCTCTACATTCCATGCTACAGACTGGCGGACATGCAGCCTGAACTTGCCCGTAAGAAAATGGAACAGGAGAAAAAAGCAAAGGTGGCTGCCATGCCTGACTGGAAGAAAGATCTGCTCAACAAGAAGTGAAACTTGTGCACACATGCCCCACCCGCACTGCACACACAAACACACACACACCACACACATACTATTACACACACACACACACAAACACACACACACACACACACACACACACACACACACACACACACAATAGCACACGCAGATATGCATCCTCACGCAAACGCCACTATCGTGGCCAGGCTTTGAACAGTTAGATATAACTGTTACCCACTGCAGACCTGCAATGCAAATGCTTGAAGTACAAGTCGTACATGCACAAATTGATATGACGTGCTTGCAAATTTAATTAATTCGTGCACTAGTAGTTCCAGTACAATGCAGTACAGTGCTGGTCAGTAAAACCCTACGTCATGAATAAAGACAGTAACACTGCGTTCGAGTGCACAGACCAGTGTGTGTAATGCTAGGGCTGTGTAGTGCTAGGGCTGCATAGCGCCCGGCAATGCTATTGTATTCATGACGTTGGATTTCTTTGGCCAGCACTGTCGGAGCAGTACACACCTTTCATGACTTCCGTAACTCTTCTCAGAGTTTATCCTCAGCTGGTGAGAAGGTTTAGTTGCATGGCTACTGTAGCACTGCACTGGTGCTCGTACTACTTTCGAAAGGTCACACGCACCCACACTGGGATACTGTGTGAGCAGTGGGCAAGGAAGTAGCAAACTCACAATGCAAACCGGCTGTCGCAAAATACTTTTTTTTTTGTTTACTTTAACTTGAGATCATTCAGTATAAAGATACCGATTTCGTTTCATTTTTAATTAGACTGTGCCTCCGCGGTGTTGAGCACTGTCAGCGCACAGGGTGCATCCTCCAGGCCTCGGCTCCTTGAACGGTCCTCCATCTCCGAGCGCAATAACGAGAGAGAGGAGAGGGAGAGTGTGGGCAAGTGAGAGAGCGAAACAGTGTGCGAGAGAGAAAGAGACAGAGAGAAAGAGAGAGAGAGCGAGAGAGAGAGAGAGCGAGAGAGAAAGAGACAGAGAGAAAGAGAGAGAGAGCGAGAGAGAGAGAGAGAAAGAGACAGAGAGAAAGAGAGAGCGAGAGCGAGAGCGAGAGCGAGAGCGAGAGAGAGAGAGAGAGAGAGAGAGAGCGAGCGAGAGAGCGAGAGAGTGAAAGCGAGAGAGAGCACCCCCATTGCAAGCACACCTTTGCCAGTACAAGTGGAATTCACTCTCACCATGGGCAACCACCACTCACACCGAAAGCTTGTAAACTTGCTGTATTATCACCAAAATAAATAGTCAAGAAGCACCCTTTCGTCAATTTGCGGGGGAGAAAATGTTTTTTGCAGTAGAGAGTGGTACCAAAATTTGGCCACACTAAAATTCACAGAAACTAGAAAGTAGAAGGGAAATGATGCACAAAAGGCTAACAAAAAGAAAAGAAAAAAAGTTTAATAATAGTGGATGTCATGAGCTACCTATAATTGTATTGTTACTCCTGCTCAGAGTGTTGTTGCTACTACGTAACAATAGTATTCAAAAATAAATTACAGTATGTATCCGCGTCACGGGCGGTGGGTTAAAACGCTCCTATTACTACTGACTGAAATGGCACCAGCACGGTGAAGTTCCTACTATTAAAGAGGTTCAGCGGCACGCTATTTCTGACGCGACGCGCAATTTCACGCCGATTTCGGCGTAAAACCCCAAAATTTCAACGAGAGCCGCAGGTCACTCGCGTTGCTTTCCAAACACGCGAGCCTAAATTTCGCGTCGCGTCAAAAAATAACGCGCAGCTTAACCTCCCTACTGACTGTCATAATCATACCTCAGTATGGTGCTACTTGTAAGAGAATTATGCGCGACTATTACCGACTGACATACTGTCATAACAGAAGGGTGCTAAGAGAATATGTTACGTTGTAGAATTACGGTCTTTTCTTAGCGATGCCAGGATGTTCCAGATGGCTCAACTATCTACTTGCATGAGTACTTATGTATTTAGATCGGGGTGCGAGAAAGGAGATCTTTTCGGTAAATAAATCATTCGGAATGAAGCGTTTCTACCGGTTAACACAGTGGAACGCACATGGCAGAACAAACACGGGGGAACACACACACAGAGGAACACAAACATACACACGCACGTACACAGCACCACGGCACTAGGCGACGACAGGCTTGCGTATCCAGCGCATGACGCCGTAGGTTGCGTAGCGAAGCAACACGCTGATACCGATCATGGCACCTATGACCCAGTCCAGGGTGTACGTGTGTGCGTTGAGCTCCTTGGCTATTTCTGGGCCCCGAATGGTGCCATTGGTGGGGTTAAGGCGACACTGTTCGTACGGCGTACCCAACACGTCTGGGTCACATCTGCAAGAAGGAAAGGAGGAGACAGAGGGGAACACGATTAAAAAAAGACAGAAAAACTGTACAGAGGCTACGCAACTATGTAATCATCTGGAATGATTTGTACGGATTGGCAGTGCAAGCACTGGTGTGCCAGTTGCAACTCCACACAAAGCATATACAATTATGTCATCAATGATGTCATTATGATGATCGTCACACAGCCTATGTTCGGAAGAGTGCCGGTTACTAGTACCCACACCTCTCGGGGAGCGGGCTGTCTCCGGAGAGTCCGGACGAGGAGAATGTTAGGACAAGGGAGCAGTCACACATCAATCTAAAACATGCACATTCCCGCATGTTTTCATCATTTTCCATTTCTCTTCGGCAATACAACAGGAATTAGGTGCACCCAAGCTCCTTAAAATGACGCTATTGTTATACATTTTGACTCCAACCTGTTCAGTGTTGTAATACATCTTGTGCATCGCTTGAATGGTGCTTGGGGTGGAGAAAATCAGCAAAAATTCATTTTCGTCCCTTCAATTCAATGCAAACAAGTACTTCCTCCGTATACAAAAACTTCGTGACTTTTTTTGAACAGTGTTGAACCTCCTCAACGAACGGCGCCAAAGGCTGTCATCGACAACCCAAGTCCATGTCGAGGTTTGTTGGTTGATCCCGAACAGATTCTCCACGGACGCCCTGCGTGTGAGGACGATGCCGACAGAAACTCAAGAGTCATAATGAAAAAAACTAACACTCGCTCGAAACTGACACAGTGACGAAGTGTAGCTCGTGGCTGGAACACGGAGTCACGCGGCACTCGCTGCCCTGAAACTGGCCAGGCTCGACTTGCGGTGCGCGGCCCCATAGATCTACGCGGCGTGAGAACATAGATTTGTTTCGCTCGCACGGCAAGATGAAACATTTCAGTCGTCGTGCAACCAGCGCAGACTCAGGATCAGAATGTCGATGGCCTGGCTTTCTTCGCCTCTCTCCAGTTAGACGTCTCCATTGTCGCCAAAGGGAATCGCAGGGACCTCCTCGAAGCCATTGTAGAATGCTTGGGAGGATTATCCTGGCGAGAAAATGCGAAGCGTGTGGATGTGCTTGTACGACTTGTTTCACGGCATAATGGTGGTCGCGGGTTGGAACAACTAAATATAGTCGACACCGATTCGTACACAGCTCTAGAGATGAAGAGGACGTAGCCAAAGTCCAGCGTCGGATCATCACTGCAGGTGACAAGAATCTGAACGAAATGCGAGCGGAAGCAGCGACTGTTGGCGATGCGGAGTCGGCGTCGTCAGGTGACAATGACATGAGCGACGACGACTCTGAAAAAACTCAATCTCATTCGTCTGAGTTGCTTTTTTCTTTGTATATAGCTTGTAAACAGGTTAGACAATGCCACAAGTGTTATTCCGAGTCAAACGGAACAATTCCAGAGCTGTGCGCAGCTTTCAAAAAAAAGTCACGAAGTTTTTGTATACGGAGGAAGTATTTAAGTTAACCTTTTGCGCCCCGCGCCCGAGTATACTCGTTTTGTAGCATGCCCTGCTTTCCCAAGCCCGAGTATACTCGGGTAGAAAATGTAGTGTATGTACAGTGAACTCGGATTGCGTATACCTCACTATTCAAACCTTCGTAACTCTGTTATACTTTCTTCGATTCTCACACCTGATGGCTCGTTGGAAAGCTGAAGGAATAAGCTTTCCAATGGTATGTCGTTTGCTGGGGCGAAAAGTAAAATACCGGAGCGCCGAAGGTGGAAACGCAATTCACGGCCGAAATACAGGGCACAAAATTTCGCACCAAAGCTTTCCAAAGAGCCCAAGATGATCAACTTCCGTTCTTGGTGAGTGAAGTTAGAATTTTTTCAAATCACAGGTCTGCTCTGCAGGGCGACGGAGAGAGAGGCGCAGCGAGCGGACTGGGAATTCATGGGTTTCAGGCCAGGGTGGAAACAATTTGACCACTGGGATAGTTCGGATAATCGCAATTCTAATGTAGTGGGTCAGTTTCGCACACTGGGAAATCACAAGCTTTCACACGAAATCCTATTACATACAGATGTACGCACCGGTCTGTACGGTCGAGCAAAGTGATCGCACGGAATTGAATTTACTGTTATTTTTTTGCATAGCAGTTTTTGTTAGTTGACGGCGCAAGCTAGGCATGGATAGCCTGTATGTATCGCAGTTTTCTGCTAGTCGCGGTGATTTTTGAGTAGCAGTAGATCGATTTTGCATAGCAAACTGCGATGCGATACCGGATAAATTCATCCCTGTGCTGGGTTATAAATCGGTAAACTTTCCTCTCACAAAATGAGCGTTCTACAGTAGTGCCTTGGTTACCTTGGTTACCTTAGTTATAAATGGTACGGGACCTTGTACTTTCACTGTAGTTCAGACAGTTGGCGTGAAACAAAGCAAGACACGATACACCCAGTTTGCTGCGGGCTTGCTTTTGTGTTCCTATTTTACTTCACCGGATGCACGGGCATTGCTGCCTTCTCGTCTACCCATACAGCTAGACGATGAGTGAACAGATGCTTCACTTACTTGTACACTGCGTTCTCGTCAAAGAGAACGACGACAAACGCATTGTAGATGTAATTGATGTAGGACAGGTAGCGTATCCATTCCAGCTTTGGAGAGAACTTGGACACATAGAAACCACCTGCAAGCAGCAGTAGCAAACACATGCACACGCACACGCACACACACACACACCTTTTGACCCTTTGACGCCCATCGCCGGAGGCGATGATAGCAATGCTACGGCAGAAGCCATAGCAACTTGTGCTGGGATTGCACCATTCAACAGCTTGCAAGGCTGAAGAATTGACCGTTACTATTCAGCCTGGTCTACACCATACAGCTATTTGAAGTGACTTTTTCTGGCCAGACACACACACAGACACACACACACACACACACACACACACACACACACACACACACACACACACACACACACACATCGAAGTTAAAAGAACAGTTCCATTGCACAATGTACAGCCCCAACAGCCTAACCACTCGCATCGTCACCGTCACTCCACATCATGTTACAACGAAGACTGTGTGTGTGTGTTTGTGTGCATGTGTGTTTGTGTGTTTGTGTGTGTGTGACTGTGTGTGTGCACGCGTGTGTGGATGCGCGTGTGTGTGAATACGTACCACCAAGCAAGAAGGAGATCATGAGAGTAGATGCAGCGATAATGGCCTTCTGCAGGGAAGGTGCCAGAGCTCCCACAAACACACCAAAACTCTGTAAGACCATAAGACAAAACAAACACACACAATACAGCTACAGTCACACATAGAGAAGGATATTCGGACAAAAGGGCACACACACAGGGCACACACACGAGAGAGAGAGAGAGAGAGAGAGAGAGAGAGAGAGAGAGAGAGAGAGAGAGAGAGAGAGAGAGAGAGAGAGAGAGAGAGAGAGAGAGAGGGGGGGGGGAGAGAGAGAGAGAGAGAGAGAGAGAGAGAGAGAGAGAGAGAGAGAGAGAGAGAGAGAGAGAGAGAGAGGGGGGGGGAGAGAGAGAGAGAGAGAGAGAGAGAGAGAGAGAGAGAGAGAGGGGGGGGGGGGGGAGAGAGAGAAAGAGAGAGAGAGAGAGGGGGGGGGGGGGGGGAGAGACACACACACACACACATACACATGGGGAGAGGGCAAAAATGACACGACAGGATTACAAACTAGCTGTTGAAAGTTACCTGTGACACCAGAACGCCGAATATCAACACGAGCCACAGTCGACAGAACATCAGGAAACCACCGAAGCCAGTCACGGGAAACGTTATCGCCAGGTAGACGGTAGGAAGTACGCAGATTAACGGTGCATCACTCACCATCTACAGATCACACATACACACACACACGTACGCGCACACGTACGGGCACTCACCCACACACACACACGCACACAGAAACAAACCCGGAACACATTACAAGGCAGACCACATAGTCAAGCCATGCATCAACACGACACTGTGAAAGGACAGTGTGACCGGTGTATGTCACACAGGGCTACAGAGCAGGATCCATTTGAACTTTGAAGTATTTTGCAAACGGGACTACCAACAGACGGAAAGCTTCGGCATCTGCTCTCACACTTGCAAGCATAACCGGACTGACTCAAAAGGATGCAACGAACAATTCGTTCAACGAGGTAAACGAGCGCACGCACGCACACACATACACACACGTACACACACGTACACGCATGCACACACACACACACACGCGCACATGATCAATTACAAACCTTGGCCAGGAAGTAGGAGGCCAGACGATAGTAACCCGACGACCGTTCACGGTTGATTATGCTTCTCTCCACAATAACTGCAGCAAAGCAAGGACATTGGGATAGAATTTTTTTATTTTTTTTTATTTGGAGGAATTTGTAGCTGAGACTAGGCACCGGCGGATTCTGCTCGTAAAGGTGGCAGATTCTGCTCGAAAAGCAGTGAAATTGGCAGAACCATACAAACCTTATGGCGGGCAATTCCTCGAATTCTGCTCCATTTCTTTATCCATGTACCAAACATGCATGAAACTTACCAGAAAAAGTACCGAATTCTGCCAATTTTTCTGCCGGCATTATCCGCCGATGCCTAGCTGAGAGACCGTTTTTGGGTAGTGGTGTACAACTGTGTGAAACGTGAACTGTGGCTACAGTGGAGTCTGCACACCCTGACAAAGCAAGGACATCTTAAAAAAGAAAGAAAGAATTAACTACTAAACGTACGTGGACATGTGTTACCAACCACGCTGCACATCATTCTCTCCGTGAACTGAAAATTCTTACTGCATCTTCTGCATGAAGGAGCCGAGGTTCAGTTACACAACTACAGTGCTTCTCAATGAAATCGGATCGTGTGAGGCAAGGTTTAAGGTTGTCCCCCCCCCCCCCCCCTCCAAAAGAAGAATCCTGTTGTGGTGCAAGCATCCAGACACCACGCACAACGGCTCGGTTTATCTGCAAACTCACAAGTTCCAGTGGATATGATTATCGGCTGAAAGCCGAAGAAGACGGCGATGAAGAACAGCTGCAGTACACATACAAACATAGGCACGACAATTCGGTGAACATTTCAAGTGACGTATGCAGCAAAGAAGAGGAAAATTTGGTGAACATTTCAAGGGACGTATGCAGCGAAGAGGGTTTGGTGAACATTTCAAGTGACGTATGCAGCAGCGAAGAGGAATTTTGGTGAACATTTGAAGTGACGTTTGCAGCGAAGAGGAAAATTGGTGAACATTGCAAGGGACGTATGCAGCAGCAAAGAGACCGCGTTTTTGAATGTTTGAGTTGAGGGACCCTAAGGTGTAAACATGGATGCAGCTAATGGGATTTCGGTCTTTGACCACTTGGTGGTGGGTCTGATCTACTCACCTCCCACCGTTTAGGCGCTGCATCTGCGCCTTTGATCCTAGAGGGTGGTGGCGTTCCCACGGCGGATGCGGAAAACTCGGCTTCCAGCCGAGTCTCACGCGAACCGTGAAATTTAAATTTTTAATTTAACCCTTTGAGGCCCATATATATCCGTACCAGTGTACAGTGCATACTTTTCAAAGCTCAACCTGGCGTAACTCGGCCGTCCCTTGACCAAATCGGACAATCGAAAGGGCCATCGACATTAGAATTGTCTCAGCTATCGGCTCGAAAAAACCCGCAAGCGATCCGAGTTTGGAGAGCGGAGATACGAGACTCGAACTAAATTCGCTCAGCAGAGTCAACTCGAGCGCGTGCATTTTGAACTCGTTTTTAGGGGTTTTCCCTGACTCGCGGCCCACGCAGCTACAGATAGTTCACGTCATCGCAAAGGCATGTTTCTCAGCTCTCCAGTAAAAAAGATTTGAGCGATCTGCAATGCAATTTGTTGAAATGGCAGAGAATTTGAGTTGGGCGCTCACAATGCTGGCTTTGGAGCGCTGTATCGCGCTGCGGCGCTGTATCGCGCTGCGGCGCTGTATCGCGCTGCGGCGCTGTATCGCGCTGCGGCGCTGTATCGCGCTGCGGCGCTGTATCGCGCTGCGGCGCTGTATCGCGCTGCGGCGCTGTATCGCGCTGCGGCGCTTGTTCTGTGGATCCAGTGATGTATTGCTGGCTATCGCTGTATTCCTCTGGCCAAGAGCTTTCCAGAAAGCCCAAGATCACCAAAATCGGCCAAAGGACACCAAAGTTACGACCAGATAAGTACCTGGGCTCGCGTATGCAGTGCATTTCTTGAAATAATTGTGGGCCCTAAAGGGTTAAGGTGTAAACGGCTGCAGTGGCGTCTGTGAGTGCTTAGGCAAGATACACAGAGCGAGAAATAGTAAAGATACCGGGACACATGATGTCTGTGCCTCCTTGTTCAGTGTTACCATAAACTCCATGCTGCAAAATATATTAAAAAACCAGTACGGCGTTCTTGGCCACCACACCATCACACACCAACCAACGAGGTCTCTCATGCACCCAACACCTGGAGTTCGTGTCTGGACTCGGACGAATCAAGCAAAACTGGGTGAGCTGGTACGCGAGGTTCTGGATGTTGGTGCAGGAGTACAGACGCGGTGCAGAGAGCATGCGGCGAACTGACCCATGACCACATCTGCCTACTCTTGTTTAGTAGAGATACAGTTTAACACGTTATTTTCGGCGTAACTTTAATATCAGTAGAGAAACCAGGCACCTAAATTTAGATTACACCTAAAAGGCACCAGAGTATGCACTGCATGTGAAGGGAATGTTGGCCACCTATTCTACACTACACCAGAAATCTGGCAGGTCTCTGGCACTGAATTTTTAATAACAATTACACCAACAATTACAATGTCATGTTTAATATACAGAATGTGTACGGGCTCTAGTGATTTCGGCCGATGTGCACAGTAGTCAAACATACACAGTGCTTCTCTGGTCACCGAAGAGGTTGCTGTATTAGCACTGCCAGGGACTCAACTTGTACAATGCAGCTGTCGACGTGATGTGATTACATCACCATTAATTTTGACAGCTTGTATTGGAGTGGCATCACAAACACTGCTTACGTAGCCGGTGATGTCACGAATGTGACCTTCCGTCTTCGGCGTGCGAAACCAGATCAGACATGAGACGACGATCAGGACTGCCAGCTGCCTCAAGACAAACAGACACACAGACAGACAGACAGACAGACAGATAGACACACACACGTGAACACATAGGACCTAATCCAATCCCTTATGAGGGCTCGTTTTCACGAATGGAAGCCTCTTCATTCGTAGATCGCTCCGAACTCGTCAGGTACTAGTACACAAAAGTTGACTGTACACATTTCTTCTTTGATTCCATGATCCATGTACGTGTATGCGTTAACACGTGTATGCGTAAACACGCGTACGCCAAGATAACGGCCGTATTCGTAGGTGCCTTGGAAATTAGCATGACGACTCGCGAAACCTGAATCTCTTTCCGAACGAAACGAGCACGAGCCGAATCAAACTTTCGTTTCGCATTCGATTCGCAGGAAATGCAAAAGGTCCCCAGTTACAGCGATCCACCACTAGCAAGGAGCATGGCAGAGCTGCAAGCTCAGAGCCGTGCTACCCTAATCGCAGCAGAGGCGGGTCGGATTTCACGAGTACAGTCAAATCTGCCGTTAGCGACCTCTGCTGTAGGCGACCATCTACCGTTAGCGACCGATTTTCCGTGCACCGACGGTTTCACATACAAACTGATCTGTCCAGAGTGACCATCTGCTGTGCGCGACCAGCGACCGCGATTTCATGCACGGACCTCTCTCTCGGGTCGGTGGCTGCATTCAAATCTGCTGTAAGCGACCGCGACCCAGGTTCAGTAAGGTGCGAAACTGTACTTGCCAGTGCGCTGTCAACTGCAAAGTGTGAAAATGCGCTGTCTTGCAAGTGCGATCGACTGGTGCCTGGCCTGTAGTCTGTACTGAGGCTGTGCTGTAGCTCTCAAGTCCAGGCAGTGTCGATCTACTGCCGTGTCGCATACGCGTACTATACGGGTATGGTCGTCGTTGAATATCCAATAAAATGATATAAAAAATCACATGATTCTCGTCGATTTGAGTACATGGAAGCATATACCTGGTATGCCGGATTTACCATACATCTGCCGTAAGAGACCATCTGCCGTAAGGGACCGCTTTTTCTTGCACCAAGGGGCGGTCGCTTACGACAGATTTGACTGTACAACCGTAATACCCTCCCAGGCTGAACAGCGGAAAAGCGAAAAAGATCAATCGGAACTCACCTGAGCGAAATTTACAATAGACAATACGTCACCAACGCTGTTCTTCCAGGACCTTTGGAAGAGGACGGAAAGCTGCATCCAGAAAGTAGATGGCCACTTGTCGAACGAATCTTGATCTACGGCACAGACGCACAGGGCAAACACCAGAATAGTTAAACAGTGGTAGAAGTATACACGAGTCCTGCATGCACGTACAGACACAAACACACACGCAGACACACAGATACACACCCGCAGGCACACACACACACACACACACACACACACACACACACACACACACACACACACACACACACACACACACACACACACACACACTCACACACACAAACATACACACCCGCACACCAGGGGCGTAGCTGGTCCCCTTAGCTGGTCACGCCTGCACGACTGCATATGTGTACGATGGCTGGTGCATGCCATTCATGGTCATCATGTGCATGCTGAACCTAGGTCGAAATGTTTAGGGGGGGGGGGGGGGGGGGGGTGAACCTGCACCCCCCTGCACAGACACAGGCACACACAGGCACACGCACGCACGCACACACACACACACACACACACACACAAGCAGAAGAGAAAGAAGGGCACGTGTGCATCTACATAGACTCCACATGAGGCAGAAGCCGAGGTAAACAGTCAATATTTTTTACAAACTTACTGCGTCCTGTTCGAACTATGTTCACAGCAGGCTCAAACGGGTCGGCTTCGACATCTTCCGTGATTTTGCTAGTCGTTGTCATACCACCTCGACCGCTGTCTCCTTCAAAGACAACGACCGATGTAGAAGTATCGCGCTTACATAGACTAGCATGTCTGGGGAGCAGCGGGTCTGTGCCATCTCCGTCAGTGCTAGCAAAGCTGGTTGGGCCACTTTCTAATGCACGGTCAGCCCTGGGTGAGAGAGAGAGAGACAGAGAGAGAGAGAGAGAGAGAGAGAGAGAGAGAGAGAGAGAGAGAGAGAGAGAGAGAGAGAGAGAGAGAGAGAGAGAGAGAGAGAGATGGGGTGAGGAGGTAGAGAGACACAGATAACAAACAGGAAAAACAAGACAATCAGATCTACAGTACATGACATTCTTTCATAGAAAATTTGGCTTGTCTACAGGAGGGCGCAGCGGTGCGGTGTGGTGGTTGATAAGAATTTGTCTACAGTCCTATCCAAAATTTAAAAAAAAGAACCTTGGGTATTCTTGGCAGGTCCAAAGCCACACGGTGATCAAAAATCGCATCTCGACGTTGATTTCAGCGCAAACCGCCCTTCCCAAGCACCCAAGGAGCCTCTTTTCAAAAGGGACTGCTGATTGCTGGTCTGGAGGATTCGTGAAGACTCGTGGGTACAGGTAGGTGCACTTATAACTGATGGAGCCTCGTGTTCAAATGCAGCGGCAGTCCTGCAAACTTACTTCAAGTTGGTGAGGCGCTTCACGACATCATCGGGGGACACAACATCAACTGCAGCGAGAGGCGTACATACAAACGCACGCACGGATGCGAACACGCATGCACGCATATACACAGACAAATGCAGACCCCCTCATACACACACACGCACACACAAATAAACGGCTCAGGATACTATCCTAATTGGAACACTCACCGTAGAAACAACCTGTGGACTTTGTTTGGCATGTTGTACGAGCCCCGTACACACTCCCATACACAGTCATATTCATGCACTCCCTGCTGGCCTTTGCCCTGCTCACCCCTTTTCCCGCTCACCCTGTCTCACTAACTGTATGCACCCCCTTTCCCGCTCACCCTGTCTCGCTTAATGCCTGCACCCCTTTTCCCGCTCACCCTGTCTCACTTAATGTATGCACCCCTTTTCCCGCTCACCCTATTCCCACTTACTGCATGCACCCCTTTTCCCCTCCATAGTTTGAGATATACCCCGAAGGCTGCGCTTGCGCAGTGTTGTCCTTTGTTCCAGTCCTTTGTTCTATTCGTGTGGTCCTTTGTTCTAGTCTGATCGATCTCTAGTCTTGTTCTAGTCTGGATCTCTTGTTCTCGCTCTCAGATCTCTTGGTGCTATTTTCCAGTCCTTGTCCTTGTCCCAGTCTTGATCTCTCCGGTGACTTGCTTGTCATAATAACACCATTCTAAAAGCCCTCCTAGTGTACCTGGTGATTGAGTAAGATAAGAGTGAGAGTTGTAGCAGTAGCAAGACCAGTAGTAGTAGTCGTAGTCCTTCTTTGACTACAGGCAGAAGGTTCATCTGATCATCGCTATGGCAACACATTGCAATGTGCGATGAACAGAGATTTCCGAAAGGATATTCTTCAGCACTTCGGGGGTGTCTCCGCAGCCGGGGTAGTACCCCGGCTGCGATGCATTTTCACTAGAACGTTGGCCGGCTGGCATAAAATCCTGGCTAGACCTCTGGGTACTTACGCAGAAAGTCAGCTGGGTTGTAGTTCATCGGACATTCGTAGCCGAGCCTGGAGAAATGTGCAACTGCGTCTTTGCCGGGGCCGAAGTATACCACCTGGTATAGACAGACGTGGCCGTGCACACGGGCACACACGAACACATGCGGACACACACACACACACACACACACACACACACACACACACACACACACACACACACACACACATGGCACACACACACACAATAACGCATACAGGACATGAGAAGGGACTGCACGCACGAAAAGCTAAGTGGCCCCAGTGCCAACCGGCTCTCTGTGGATAGCTATAAGTCTTCCTTCTACTGCACATCTAGTGCTAATTCTCACTGTTTGTAGTCGGCAATCGTTCATTTTCTCTGCATATATTCTGTTCTGCTTCCCTGATTTTCTAATTGTGATGCACAGTCAGACCTCGCATACCCGCACACATCCGTTATCAACAAAAAACGCCCGGATAGGCGAGGGAACAAGATAATCCAACACACATACTGTATGTATGTATGGCATATGCTGTAAATCGGTGACCAGCGATTTTCTTCCGGATGGCGATGGATCCAGATAAAAGAGGACCGGATAAGCGAGGTCTCACTGTATTTCAACTGAAGAACATCACAAGACAACAACAAACACCAAGATGCCAACCTGTCCTCTAGAGAGCAGCATTAGCTTGTTGAACATGTGGAAGATCTGACTGGACGGCTGGTGAATGCTGGTGATGATGGTGCGGCCGTGATCCTGTGCCAGCGCCTGCACTGTGCGCAGCAGGTCGTGGGCTATCGTGGAGTCCAGTCCTGATGTCGGCTCCTGAACACACAGCAGAGTGCAGCACAGAAAGACAAGAAGAATGATGTCAACACTGATTGATCCTCTATCATAATGACGATGTATATGTACGCAAGCGGAACACACACACAGGTGCACACACGCTCAAGCACTTACGCACACACAACTGTCCCCATCCATCCGCATACTCATAGAGAGAGAGAGAGAGAGAGAGAGAGAGAGAGAGAGAGAGAGAGAGAGAGAGAGAGAGAGAGAGAGAGAGAGAGAGAGAGAGAGAGGGGAGAGAGAGAGAGAGAGAGAGAGAGAGAGAGAGAGAGAGAGAGAGAGAGAGAGAGAGAGAGAGAGAGAGAGAGAGAGAGAGAGAGAGAGAGAGAGAGAGAGAGAGAGAGAGAGAGAGAGAGAGAGAGAGAGAGAGAGAGAGAGAGAGAGAGAGAGAGAGAGAGAGAGAGAGAGAGAGAGAGAGAAGAGAGGAGAGAGAGAGAGCGAGATAGAGAGAGACAGGGAGAGAGAGAGAGGGGGGGGGGGGAAGCAACACAGAGAAGAAAAGCAGGAAGATAGCAAGCAGTAGCACTCACGTCCATGACGAGAACGCGGGGGTTAGCTAGAAGCTCCTGGCCGATGCTTGCACGCTTACGTTCACCACCGGACAAGCCACGCTTTATATGATTGCCGATAACTGCACCCACCCAGACATCCACAAACACACACACACACGCACACAACACACACACACAACACACACACAAAAACACACACACACAAACACACACACAACACACACCCCCGCACGGCTATATCAAAAATATCCCTGGCTCCCTGTTTATAATACATGGCCCTGTATGACCATTAAGTTAAATTTCGCCCCTCCAGAAGCCGAGTTTCTTTCACTCAATCCTATGTCAGCACAGGGCGGCCATTACGTCTGGATTCATCAGTGCAGGCACTAATAGGAGAAGACATACTGTACACGCAGAAAAAATGGTAGGTGACAATTTTCATCCAAGCCCCACGAAAGAGTCCAGTCTATAATTCCGCCCATTTACAAAACAAACAGATTGCAAAGCTGGACAAAATGACGTAAGTCTGGCTTTATATTTAGTATGAAAGCCCCCCCCCCCCCGGACGAAAAAGACGAAATTAAATATCCGGCGAACATTTCTGCGCATACAGTACTGCAGATGCAAACAGAGCAAGACATATGCCGGAGTCGCCGTGTGCTTACTCGTATTCCTGCAGTGCGACACCTGCAAGACGTTGATGACCTCGTCGACCTGAAGCGAGACGAAAACAAAACAAAGAGCACACCGACGTCGGTAGGAAATCATGCTGGCTTGGTTCTGATGCTGAACTCACACCCACAACACAATACAGTCAGACCTCGCTTATCCGGACCTCTTTTATCCGGATCCCTCGCCATCCGGAAGAAAATCGTTGGTTACCGATTTACAGAATATTGTCATGCATACATATGCGTGACATATGCAGTATGCGTGTTCAATTATCCGGTTCCCTCGCCTATCCGCATATTTTTTTTCGGAAAACCGATTTGTGCGGCTTTAAAAGCGAGGTCCGACTGTCCTGTGCTCTCACATGGACTTCACTATGGCACTACATGTATGGTGGTGTCTAACAGTTGTCGGCACATAGAAACCACACATTACAGGGTGCAATCAACGGGCATATGAGTGCAACAAACAGCTCAGAACCAAAAAAAACACGTGCACATTCCTGAAGATGGGCCTTGCCCGAAAATACAACATCTCTTTTGCTACGAGTGATTGGTGTAGACCAGAGACCGTTCGGAGAGTGTTGTGAAGATGTATGGATATAGCGGATGGCTACAGCGGAGTCTTCGCATTATGAGAAATACGTACAGACTGCAGCAGTGTACACAAACACCGCACGTCAACGGCTGTGTAGCTGGTCCTACGTAATTCAAGCGATCATCAGACAGCGGCAGTTACAGCTACACGGGCCTCGACCTCCGGTGTTTCTGTGTACCGCTCTGCACACGGGTGTATTGAGCGCTGAATCGAGCGGCCTCAACCAGCCCTGTTCGTGCAGACGGAGATGTTCATTATTCACAGCCAATACAAGGAGAGCGGTCTCAAGAAAAACAGACAGGTTTGTGCACTCACAGCAGCCATTTTCTTCTCGTGGCTCATCGTGTGCGGCAGACGTAGTAGAGCGGCATACTGAAATCAAACACATACGCATGTCCATACACACGCACACGCACACACACACACGCACACGCACACACACACACACACACACACACGCACACACACACACACACACACACACAAATAAATACACATCATAGTCGCTCATTCAAAGAAGACCAGTAGCAATCAAAATCCTACTCCTGCCTCCTGGTGCCTACCGATCCAGACCCTCCGACAAATCCCACCCAAGATTTGCCGCTGGTCTTTTCCCTTCACTACTGTTTACACACAGATAGGACATGATGCTAAACTACAAACAAATAAAACAGATACGCATGTGCGTGCACGCACGCACACACACACACACACACACACACACACACACACACACACACACACCACACACACACACACACACACACACACACACACACACAAGCACACCATTTGACGCCCATCGCCGGAACCGATGATAGCGATGCTACAGCAGAAGCCATAGCAACTCGTGCTGGGATTGCACCATTCAACAGCTTGCAAGGCTGAAGAATTGACCACCACTATTCAGCCTGGTCTACACCACACAGATATGAAGTGGGTTTTTCTGGCCAGTGAATCCCTAATTTTTGGTCTTTTTCATTTTTGTTCCCGCACACACATCACACCACATACTCCGGCATGGACTGGCTGTTGGTAACCACCCAGGAGAATGAAAGAAAAGTCAGGAGGAGTCTGAGAAAGAGAAGAAAGACGTCACACACACACACACACACACACACACACACACACACACACACACACACACACACACATTCGGACCTTTGGAAAGCCCATCGCCGAAGGCGATGATAGCTATTAGGCGAGGCAGAAGTTCTTGTGTCGAGATAACACCACACACACACACACACACACACACACACACACACACACACACACACACACACACACACACACACACACACACACACACACACACACACACACACACACACACACACACACACACACACACACACACACACACACACACACACACACACACACACACACACACACACACACACACACACACACACACACACACACACACACACACACACACACACACACACACACACACACACACACACACACACACACACACACACACACACACACACACACACACACACACACACACACACACACACACACACACACACACACACACACACACACACACACACACACACACACACACACACACACACACACACACACACACACACACACACACACACACACACACACACACACACACACACACACACACACACACACACACACACACACACACACACACACACACCAACAGCCATACGTGCACACACCCGCACTCGTGCGCACACATGCATGCACACGCAGACATGCACCCACCTTGAACGTTTCGAATAGCGTCAAGTACGGAAACATGAGGTCGTGCTGCAGAACATAGCACATCTGACGGCGAAGGCGCTTGTCCAGAGGCTGGTCGTCCAAGCAGATCTCACCTCGTACCATTGGCAGTAGACCAGCTAACACATTGAACAAGGTTGTTTTGCCGGAACCTGAACAGAGACAGAGCAAACACAACGGATGCAACAACAAATCATTATAGTTCTTGAGCAGGATGAACCGAGCTACGTTTGATTGAATCGTCTTAATGCAGTGTCTGTGTGTGTGTGGGGGGGGGGGGGGGGGGGGGGAGAGACAGCGAGGGAGAGTGTATGTATACAGTAGATATCGGTTATAACGTGCCCTTCTGATTTTTCACATTTTATCACTATAACCGGTATATCACTACAGGCGATTTTCAACTGCGCGTCATACATACACGTTATACACGTGTGGGTACTCGATCGCGCTAATGTAGCGTACTGATACGTGATGGATGCTACTGCACCTTCTCCAGTCTAGAGTGAAGAACGTCTTGGCCCAAAGGCATCATCCAGGAAGCACCAGACCAGAATACCCTATGAAAACACGCATGTGGCTCCAAATCGAGACATCAATGCCTCACACTCGTGTGTTGCTATCACTATAGACGATAATTTTTCTGCACAAATAGGTGTTTTGAATGGTCATTCTGTATCCTTATAGCCGATTTATCGCTATATACGATATATTGGTTATAATGATAATTTGACTGGCTTTTTCTTGTTTTGCTTTTGATATTTTCATTTTGTATCAATATAGCCGGTTTATCACTATGTCCGATGACTTTATAACCGATATTCACTGTACTGTAGGCGGACAATAAATCTCTTCCGGTTCTTCACACTCGTAGCTGGCAGGGCCGAGGGGCAGACCGCGGGCAAGCCTTGTCAACAATGCTACAGCCGGGTTTACACAAGTATGTGATTATCCATTATTTACACGGAATGTTCACTGGTTGAGGGAAATGAAAAGGGAAAAATGACAGAAAAAATGACCGTCACCACAAATACAGCAACTGTACTGTACTATATACAGTGACCAGGACTGGGAATATTTTTCATATTGTATTATTTCGTAGAAGTTTTTGAGCACATGAATTTCCGGACACGTTCTAGCCCTCAGCATTGCCACGTGAACTACTTACCACTGGGACCCATCACGGCCAATACCTCACCAGGCTCTGCATACCCGCTCACGGAGTCAAGGATGCGACGCTCTTTCAGATCCACGGTCAGGTCGGAGAACTTGACGCGAGCTCCAGTGCGAGTGGTCATCTGCGTCAACGTGGAGCGCCTCCGAGAGGCATCGACTCGCGACGACATCTCCATGCTCAACTAAACTTGTCTTGGCTTCGACCGCCGCACAGACCTAGAGATGGAGAAAAACATTTGCTAGTTTACTGCAACGATTACAAAGTGACTGAATGATCCCAGAAACCAAAAAATAAGAAAAAGAGTGCAAACAAATAATAGGTTTACAGTACAGCAAGAATGAGCGCTTTCTTTACCTGTCACATAAATTTATAGCTGATCAAAAGATAACGCCAGTGGCCTACTTGTAGCTGTTCTACAGCTGCGCGTGCGAGAAAAAGGCGTGAAGACGACCAGCTAGCCAGAACAGCACCTTCCACTTCCAGCTTCAAACCTTGCAGAACGTGCACAAATAATTTCTCAACATCGTGAAAGTCGAACTCAAAGAAGCCAAACTCAAAGTTTTGAAATGCGCGTGATCGTGTGTCACCAGGTCTACGACTTCCAGATCAGTTTGGGCACATGATTGATGGGAAATCCCCACAAATTTATTTCGCAACAACACGATCACCATGATCACGTCGTGAACAATGCCATCAATGGTGAAAGGGTGTGGGCACAGTCAGCCAAGTCGGCGAAGAAGAAAAAGAGTTCGAAGAAGCCTACCCGCATTTTGTAGCACTACTGTAGTCACAAGCTTGCGGAGTCATGCTGACAAGCCGAAAGGCTACACTGTCGTACTCATGCATGCAACCTTGTTTGCATTTGTCGGCGACGGAAACCGGGAAAGCAAAGACTAATTTTGTACTTTTAGTAAACTGACTCGAGTACATTGACAGTACGTAGCCTCTATGGCCATAGCCATAGGTCGTAGACCCCGGTCCACTGCGAAAAGAAAAGACTAGAATACGGAGGATTAGCAAGACGAAATTCGCGTTCGCGTTCGCAAACATTTTTCAGTTTAGCGAACTGGATTGCGAACTTTCGCATTTTTCGTTCGGAAAAGTAGTCGGAACACGAATCGCGGATTCGTGTCAGGACAGTCAAAAATTTACTACGCTATACTGTCTGCAGACTCTGCACACGACATGTCAACGTCATGCATGTGCGAAGTCTGTTTGCTAATCCTTCTCATAACGCGAATTCCGTCACTGAGTTCGACTTTCCTTGGAGAGCGAACGCGAACGCGAATTTCGTCTTGCTAATCCTCCGTAATGATGAAGTGACGTTCGGGAGGCTTCGGCAGATGCACAAGGCTGACGTCGGATGGCCGCAGCCCGTCATTCGTCAAGACCATCGTTACTCATATCATCAAGTAAGTTAGTTAGTTTTGAGTTCATTATTCAATCAATGATTTTGTACAGTCAGTACCTGCAGCACGGCGTGTTGTTACTACCCGTATACTGTAGTAGTCAACTTGTTTTATTCAAAGACCCACATTTAAGTGAATAATGGCAAGAAGGCACAAGAGAGGAGCTAGAGAGAAAAGGGAAAACAGGGAGGCGTCCAGGTAGAAAAGGAAACGTCACTTGAAAGATTAGAACGTAGGGCTTGAAAGTGATGACGTCAAAACGGCCAGGGAGTAGTAAGTTGACATCAGATTTCTATTTTTGGATCCACTAAGGTGTGACTTAGCTAATAGAGAGGTTCCGGGGTACGATTTTCCGTGCCAAAATCCGTATGGGCGCTACGGATTTTTTCCAGGCGTGCTCCATACGATTTTTCGGCACGGAGAATCCGTGTGAACTGGCTTTCACACGAACCATGTTTCGTATGGAGATTTTGCGTCATCGGGTGCAGAAAGATTTTTCGCGTACAAATTTGGTACGAGAAACATGAAAACTTTTTTATTTATTTTTTATTTACGTACGAGAAACATCGATTTTTCGCGGGAAGTTTTGATTTCGGTACAAATTTTCAAAATCAAAAGACATAGCGCGGGAATGTGACGTGTTTGCGATCGTAACCTAGGCAATGACGGCAAACACATAAGTTCCGTACCCCGGAACTTTTCACTGCTCGAAAACGACGTATAAAAAATCCGTAGAGCCTCCACGGATTTTGGCACGAAAAATCGTACTCCGGAACCTCCCTATTGCCTATGTATGTGGGTGCATAGCAACCCACTCATGTCGCATGCAGGTGTGACTTTTATTTCGCCACCAGTTGTAACCCCGCCCCCAGTAGCCAAATCAGTCAGTTTCACTGGCTACATCACCATGCTGTTGGTAAGACCGCTTGAAATGTGCTTGGATCCATACAAAAACTGGATCCAAGTGGATCCAGTTTTTGAATTTTTGAAATTGTTGCTATGCTGTGACGTAGCACTCTCAAGCCCTATTGAAAGGATCAGTCACGCAATACGGTTAATTCCCATCGTTGATCGGATAATTATTCATCCCTACGCAAGAAGTAGTTCGTTATTATTAGGCCACACCAAGTTATTTCATTGTTTCTCGTCACCTGAAAATCTCAAAAGGAACGCGGGCGGGCGGAAAAAAAACAAAATAGGGTTTGAAAAACAAAAACTGCTATTTACACTACAAATAATTCGCCTGTTATTTTGCACAGAACCATTACATTAGCAGCATATGTGAGCATAATGCGGCATAATTATGATAACTTTTAGCATACAAATAGCATAATTCTGCAATTTTTTCAGCAATGCGAAAAGCATAATTTCACGAAAATATTAGCATAATCTGTCAAGGCCTATCCACGAAAGCACGTTACAAACCATTTTAATAGCAAGAAAGAGATACAGCACCTCAATCTTGCCATAACGCTTGAATAATGTAAATCAGGATGCTTGTTGATAATTAAGCCAACCAAATTCTTTAGGGCACGTGAACACTCCTGGCTGCAAATACCATTGGTAGCAAAAACCAAGGGCGTGAATGCACCTCTCTCCACATGTATTACCCTCTGCAGGTATGCTCTCTTCTTCTGTTGCTCATTCCTGGTTAGCTGAGCAAGAACCTTCGCTCTCGACAGCAAGGACACTGAAGGATGAGTCACCCTAACATCAAAGAATGCGTCTTGCTGCCGAGACCAGAAGCCCCTTGCACAGATATCCAGACGAGCCTCCGGACGCCCGTTAGTCATGGCACCAGGGAGCGCTTCACCCTCGAGTGGGAGCAGCGGAGGCTCAATCCGCACATCGGGGATGGCTGCATCCATGGCCTCGGCAATCAGGTCACGCAGAGCATTGTGCCGGAGAGTGGGGTACCCCCCCCCAGTAGGGCACGTTGCCGCATGATCGACGCTGAGGTCCACACCACACCCAGTAGCAGTATACTGTAGTAGTAGTACACTGTATCTCATTCTCAGTACTACAGTTCTGGCAACTGAAATCCGACCCCCTTGGCGGCGCGGCGTGCCGCCAAGGGGGTCGGATTTCAGTTGCCAGCACGGTACTAGCAAGAGTATAACCTCCTGGCGGCTTACATAATTATGTACATGATTGTATACTCTTCTTCAGCCTTGCTACTACCGGTAGTATAGTATCAAGACTTGAAGAGTAATTATTATTTATACAAAAGAGAAAGACCAAGGCACTACAAGTTACGCTATACTGTCCACTAACACCACCAGTTACTAAACAATCAGCTCATGCGATAACATTGCACGGCAGTGACCGACGGTACTGACGTTCTACAATTTAAAACTGGCTAACACCTCTAGCAAATCTTTGATGCGCACTCCAACAGCCTTCCAACGTGGAAGGTTCCAAGTTATAGAAATAACATAAGGAGGGGAAGGTGAGCGTAACCAAGATAAGCACGAGCTGAAAGTCTCAGCTGTAAAGGACGTTGGCGGATGTTCATGCATGTCGATGACGATACTGGCAAGACCATTGGACAATACGGTCAAACCACGGTTCTAGAACGCAAAGCAACATTCCACACAACTTGTGTGGCTCAAAAGATGCGAAGATCAATAAAAGATGTGCTAGACCTGTTAGCCAGTTAGTTGTAGAACGTCAGTACCGTCGGTCAGTGTCGTGCAATGTTATCGCATGAGCTGATTGTTTAGTAACTGGTGGTGTTAGTGGACAGTATAGCGCAACTTGTAGTTCCTTGGTCTTTCTCTTTTGTATAAATTAAACCTTGGCTCTCCATCTGAGTTCATACTTGAAGAGTGAATATTATTTTAAAAGCTGCCACGGGGAGCTCTCTTTTACTCTTGCTAGTACATGTACAATGTACATGTATGCGGACAACGACTAGTTACGTGGTGCACTGATACACCACACCGTAAAGTTGGTTTTACAAACTGTACATCCTGCCTCTTTTATGTACGCTGCTGTCAGCTGGTGTGGCTTGTCCTCGGTTCTCGCTGAGCGTCTCGAAATCCACCATAGGAAACTTCTTCGTATCCTGTTTAGACTTCCCCCTCTCTACTCGTCTGCTTCCCGATATGCCCTTGCAAATGCTTGCCCACTGTCAACCCACCGCCAAAAATTAATTTGCACTTTTGCTCACAAATTTAAACTAGCTCTACATCCTCCTCATCTTAGCGTGTACAACTGGTTCCGAACCACAGATGGTAGGCCTTTCCCAAATCGGCCATTTATTTTCCGTTTAGCCAAGCGCACAAACTTAACAACCCACTGGGTTGCCTTTTAAGTTGCCCGCAACGCCTATCAAGCCTCCGTCCGACGTTCTAAAGCAATCTACCTGGAGAACATGAGCGCACGGGTTGACAGAGAACGAAGTCCGTACCAGTGGTGGCGCCAAGCCAAACAGCTCACCAATCTATCTAAAACGCGTCCACCAATTCCATCCCTTGAGTCTGGAGACCAAGTTGTAACCACAGACGCCTCCAAGGCGCACTTGCTGGCTGACGTGTTCTCCAACCAATGCTCCAACACCCACACCCAACGACTACCTATTCCGCACCCCCCTCCTACGCCAACATCCCCTTCAGTATCTCAGTTGTCTCTGCCTACGACGTCTTTGATACTCTCAAGAGATTGCCTGTCCATAAAGCTGCCGGTGGTGACATCCCGAACCGCATTCTGAAGGAGACCGCTGATGTCATTGCCCACTCCCTCTGCAAAGTCTTTAATTTAAGTATAACACAAGGCCGCCCACCACCATCGTGGAAAACGGCGCAAGTTGTACCAATATAATAAGCAGAGAGGTTCCACAGCTGAACCCCAGAACTACCGCCCTATTTCCCTCTTGAACTTGGTCGCCAAAGTGCCTGATTCGATTGTCGCGCGCCGTCTTAGCAGGTTCCTTAGGAAGGAAGATGTAATAGTTTCGGATCAGTTCGGGTTTGTACACGGTCGGAGCACAGTTGACCAACTGATACATCTAACGGCTAGCGCCGCCAAGAGCATGCATGGACAGCAGCCAGGAGTATGATGTGATCTTCTTGGATTTTGCCAAGGCATTTGATCGCGTCCCACATTCTACCCTTCTGGCCCTTCTACAACCACTATGCAACCCAACGGCTACTACTTGGTTTGCAGGTTACCTTGACGCTGGCCAGTTA